AATGTTGTAATGCAGCCCTGAACATACATCATCATCATCGTTTCATAGTGTGAATGGGTCTGGCGCTTCACACAGGAAGACAGCGCCAGCCCAGAGCATGCACAGACGAGGAGGAAGGGGATAGACGAAGAGGAGGGGGAAGATGGGAATGTCGTCAACACCAAGTCTTCGGCACAAGCCCAAATAGTCCCTCGTAAAACTGTCTGAATCCCAAAYGTCAAGTCTGGATCCAATGTCGTCAAGTCTCAAGTCACAACTCTGTCTCTCTCTGTCGTAGTYTGAGAAGTCAGGTGGCGAGAGGGTGAGAGGAGAAGGTGGACTTAGAAGAGGAAGAAGAAGAACTCTCTCTCTCTCTCTGTCCAGAACTAACCTGTGAAGTTGGCGCCTTGATGCTGGTATCACGAAGATGGAGCTGGAGCGATGGCGCCACAGGTAAGTAACGCTGGCCTCCGCCAGCCTCTCTCCACTCTACGACCTACTACCTACCAGCGCCCAGCGYTGAAGACTACAGCTACAGCTATGGCGCCCAGCGCCGAAGACTACAGCTAGCGCTACCACTACTGCCTAACGCTGAAGACTACTGCAGCGCTCCTCCTRAGTGCTGCGGCCGAATCCTGAAGACTACTCTGCCTACTGACTCTCCTCCGTGAAGTGCATGGGACTCCCTATGTACTACACGGCCTGCCTCCTGACTGAAGGGCGAGGCAGTCCAGGAGGCTGTTCTTGCCAATGCCGCAGGGAGTCAGGGGCTGCCGCTGCAACTCCTGCTTGTGGCTGTCGTGGGAAACAAGCTAAAGATAGCCTGTTTCCGAAACCCTGGTTTTGTGCCTGGGTAGGTCGATCTTATGAGGGCCCGAAAGTGGCCCTCCGTTTCAGGCTGAAAAGCCTCAGGTTTAAAAGCCCTGATATAGGCTGAAAATGAGATAGGGCCTGCAGGCCCTCGTTTTTCAGCATCCAGGCTGAAATGAACGGGGCCTGTAAGCCCTAAGTTTTAGGCTTTTAGGCTGAATGTCCGGGACKGGCCCTGTAGGCCCGTGTGGCTACGTAGTATGCCACACCAACACAGTCTTCAGGTGCCACAATCGCTACCTCCGTATACTTGCTCTCTCCTTGAACATCGAAGTGCTACTTTCACTTCATGGATCACTCACCACCAAGCACAAACTCTCTTCTACAAACGTCCCAGACAACAGTCCGATTTGAATTTTGAACAAACGTTGTTCGAAAACCCGCCCATGCTTCATCAGGATGGGAGTTACTTTGTGGCTACGGAGGGAACGGGCAACTTTGGTTTGAGCTGGATAAAGAAAGGAGTGTTGCAGCTCAGGGACACTTGGGATGAAGCACGCTCCACTTTTTTGGACAATACTCATATGAGAAGGGCGCTCCCTAGAATACGAAATGTTGCATCAATTATGCAGAGCTCCAGCGGGCTATCCCAGACTCATGGATTAGAATGCTACAAAAATGGAACACTCGGCAGGGACCTAGCTCAGGAACAAGGACCAGCCCAACGAAGTGTTGGAGGTTTTAGGCCCGGATTTGGCCTCGGGTCTCAGGGTCCAGAGTTGGAAACACTCAGCTCTAGGACGGAACCTTGGCCAGCTGACTTTGGTGGACACCAACTGTCAAATCGATAACACGAGGGATATGGAGGACGTTCGCGTCCACACCCAAACAGCCAAATGAGGTAAACAAACGGCTATACTACTATGGGAGGCGACATCGTTCAGAGTCGAACCTCTGCTGATGGGATGGGAAAGTCCTTTGAACCAGGGTGAATATGTGCCTCTCTATCAATATCGACCCAAAGTAGGAGTACAACTGCAACAAAAGAGATCGAAGAAAAAGCCGCTGGCACTGGCTTTGGGACAGGCAGGGGCACAACAAGTGACAGGGTACACAGTGCAAGGCCTAGGTAAGCTGTGACAGGCGCTATTGAAGTTCTCTGTGCAGAAGCAGACTAACATAATGTCGCTGGAATCCTTAATGGTTACAGCAACATCAATGTGGCGCCACAGACCAATGGATGCTTACTGGACTCTTACATGCAAACCTGGCATATTCCTCTGGATGGGGCTACGTGGCCTTTTGCTGTAGAGGTGTGTTAATGGAAGTTATATGGATGGCGAGGAATGCAAGGGTCTTCAAAAGCAAAGACATGCCCAAAGTTCAGCAGCAGAAGATGATCAAACAAGGAATACCGAGGGTAGTGCAAGCAGACTGCCACAGAAAGAATGTTATATGGTTTCAAAGAACTTGGGCGTCAAAGGATAGACTAGCGACAGTTAATGCTGAAGGTCATATTTCGCTATGTTCCTGGTTGTCGGATTCGCACGATTAAGCAAGTGATGTTACATAGTACCTCAGGTTACATAGTACCCAAAGTTAACAATTGAAATAGGATCATTAGAAACCATGGGTCGTTTAGGTTTAGTTGTCTATGGTTACTAGGCAGCGTCAGGACTGACAGAGAAGGTCAGGCTGTGCTTAATTAAAGGATTAAAACATTTAAGGTATCCCTCTTTGGTTTGTCATAGATAACTTACTGTAGTTTGGGATCCCCTCCCAATGCGTTATAAGAGTACTTCGTTATGGGGAAGGGAGGTCCACATCGAACCACTGACTGCAAAAGCAGTCCCCTTTTTATACGTGCTTCAAGCTGCTTTAATTGAAAGTTCTTTGGAGATCTTTGGATTTATTTTAGGACGCCGGACCCGGTTTCCGGCAGTAGAGTTGAGGAATTATGAGCAGTGGGTGGGTCTTCGAGCTTGGCTCGTAAGCAAAACTGGTTGAGGCTGCCAGGATAACTCCGGGTCGAATCGTGAGGTCTCCGGCCTCGTCCCATAGTTTTCTTGCAATATATATTGAAGCTTTCCAAAAAAAAAAAAAAAAACCTATTAAGTTTTAACTGTCAAAAACCGTCCTAAAAAAAAAATTGCGCTAAGTTTCAAAAAAGTGAACCGGGTAAGGCGCTGCGAACTGCGGTGCCAAATCGGCATAATCCCCAAAATCCCCATAAATATTGTCCAGGGATAGTCACACCAGGATCTTATTTCCCCAAACTACTTTGGGCATACTCGCACGAGGACTTTTCTAAATGTATCTGACTGCATTTGCGGCCAGACCCAGATGAATCTGATTACAATTGTGTTTATAGCTTAGAGCAAAAGGTCCTTGTGTGAGTATGTCCTTAGGCTTTGAGCCTACGTTTTTTACTTCTGATAAAAATTGACATCCCACACGCCTCACACGGTACCCCGGGTCTTGGCAAACAAAAAAAAAAACGGTTGTTTCTTCTCTAAAAAAAAACCAGTTGTTTCTTCTCTGGAACG